AACACGTTTGATTGCTTTAAGAGCTGACTCACAGCATGTCTACCAGGTATATGACCGCTTTTTCAGTTCAATTATAGGTTGTCCTGGATATACAGATTGTTGTATTTTCATAAATAGTACATGCCGTTTACCTAATGATGAAATGAAGACATATAATTTTTCAACAATATTGAAAAATGAAGAAAACATCTGCTCAATTTTGCAGCTTCGACAAGAACAAGGTTGAGGCAATGGGCATGACACGAATATTTAAAGTTCTTTTGTTTACTTTCAGTATTCTGGCATGTAAACCTAAAAATTGTCCGCTCATATTGGCTGCTCCATCTTATCTTTGACCAACAATATTCTGAACACTAAGGTTATTTTCCTAAAGTTAAGCTATGACAACCTTTGTCAAATTTTGACCAGTTGTACAATCAATATTGCAAATTTGTATAAAACGTTCTTTGATTTCCAACTTACTAATGCATCAGACCGCAAATGATGCTTTTTTAATATGGGATACATCAGTGGTTTCATCCAGCATTATTGAGAAATTTGCGCCTCTTCTATTTCTTCATGAATTTTTTTTAAACACATTGCGATGGAACTAATAATACCATTCTGAATTCTATTAGACAACATGAACACCCTAGGCCTCTTCATGACTTATTTTTTTGAGGTAACATCTGCCATGCGCAAGTTTAAGACTGAATCTTATCTTGAAACTAAACCTGAATACCAAACCCTATTTATAGAAATATCAGTCTTGCAAGAAGTTCTCAATTTTATAGTTTTTTCCTTTTCTTCTTTAACAAGATGTGCTAACGAGTTATGTTGATATGCGTTCCAACGCATCATGCTGAATATATGACACTTAGTGGCTCAATATTCCTTAATTTCTTCAAGAGCATTTTTCCAATTTGATATACCTTTAATCTTCCAGAAAGGTGTGTTCTATTTCTGATACTTGCCTTTTTAGTTGAATATACGGCAGCTAAAGCAGTACATAGCATCAGTGTCAGAGGAGTATTCAAGCCATGGGTTCTTCTCATACCACTTTGAAATGAGCGACCAATTATGGTTATTAAGTTATTGAACAAACATTTCAAATAATTTTATTCCTTAATATTAAAAAACAATTCTAATGCATTGGTCAAGCTCAATATTTTTATAAAGAGGTTTAAAATACTGGAGTATTTATATTTTAAATAGCTATTTAATTATTTCCTATAATAAATGAAACCATATTGAGACTTTGATGTCTACTATATTAATATTTAAATACATATGAATTACAAATATAAGATTAAAAATATATATAAGTCTTCTAAAAACATGTCTCCTTTAAAATTAAATCTTGAAATGTGCCTGTCTACTATTATAAACAATAACCAATCTTAGCAGTTTTGATTGATATAGTTTGCGACACCTTGGAGCTTTGTATCCTTGCTCATAAAACTGTTTGAAGTCATTATGAACAGATTCAAAAGCCTGTTTTGATCAAAAATCAAGACCTTTTCCAGGGTAATTGTCATCCATTGATTCCAAAAAAGCTGTTACATGGATGACTAGAGCATGTACTTTTAGTGATACTTTTTCGTTCAATACCATATATGCTTCCTTGTACAAATTGATATAATTCTTGTAAGACATGTCCAAACTTAGATCAAAGCAAGTTTTCTTTACATTATTTAGTGCTTTCATTGCAAGCATAAGCATTTTCAATTCATCAGGTACAACTTCAAGCTTGGATATGAGAATTTTGTCTAATGTTTCTATGCCATCTAACAGCTTTGAGCACTGTCCTCCCTTGAACTGGCCGCTGTGCAATCTCGGCCTTATAAATCTAATTGTTTTATTCCACACATCCATGGAAATTTATGTTTCTGCTTTTGACAGTATTTTATCATCTATGTTAAAAAAAGGAATTTGTTGTTCCAAAAAACAAATGAAGCTCCACTGGAGGAAGGATTTCTGCATCAAACGTAGGTACAACAGATGTAGATCTACCATCTGGTAGGTCTTGCAAAGGAGTTTGGACACAATTCTTGAATGATGCAGACTTGAGTTTACTTTTTTCATGTGTTTCCCACAAGTCTTTTTGAACTGTTTTGAAATATCTCTAATCATACCAAGTGTTCTAAAGACATACTTGTATCATTTAATTTAAATTTAGCGACTAAAAAAAAGAGCGACTAAAAAAAATTAAATTAAAATCCTGAATTAAAAAATATCTAGAATGATATTTTGATTGTGATGGTTGTGAAAACTTGCATGTCTTGCTTTGACAGTTCACATTAACTGCAGGGGTGAGCAAAAGAAGCTGCTTCAATGCCAAAATTAATATTCGCAAGCCTTAAGTAAAATGCTAAAAAAAACTTCTTAGTCAAAATCTCCAATAGTTTTATGATTTGCTTAATGTTTTGGTGATTCTCTTTAACATCTTCAACCATAGCCAGAATAATAATTTTCTTAACTCCTCCGTCCTTGAATTTGTCTATAGTATATTTTTGAATCTTATGACTTCACTAACTGGTAGCATGTTTCCAGGAAAAAGGGTTTTCCACTCTGTTTTTTTCGGAGTTTTAAAATTAAAAAGTTTAGGCTCTTTGTTGGCAAACTTTATTGAATCACCTGCATCCACTTCAGATAACTATTTGAAGTGGATGCATGAGACACTTTAGATAACTATCCTTTAGGTTAAATTATTATTATTATTATTATATATATATATATATATATATATATATATATATATATATATATATATATATATATATATATATATATATATATATATATATATATATATATATATATATATACAACAAAATAACCTCTAGACAGTGCTGTCTCAAGATTATCCCTGCAAATCGAAATATTGCAGGGGTCAAGTAAACCGCGTTTCACTGTACATAGATATCTTTGGTATACAGATATGGGTAGGAAAGGTGGCCAAATTGATTCAGTCTTCCTTTTTTTATATTTTTTCCTGATCCGGGGGAGTTTTCCTCGCAACAACCATAAACTGTACATTCACATGTTAGTTGACTTCTATATATATATATATATATATATATATATATATATATATATATATATATATATATATATATATATATATATATATATATATATATATATATATATATTGCAATAATTATTTATATGTATTGAGTTTAATACATATATATATAAATAAATGTTAAAGAAAAACCAACACTAATTCTCTTTACTATAAACAAGAATACAAAACATTACATTTATGTTCTTGAAGAATACTAAGCATTACATATATGTTTGCCTGTTTATTGCGAATACTTTAAAATATGTATCAGTCTTCGAAAAATTCTTATTCGAATAGAAAATTTATTGAACATTCAAGGTAAAATACTGGTCTTTTTGGGTTACAAAAATACATTTTTTTTTTTTTCTTGGACCCAAAAATTTTTTTCGCTGGTGTTATTTCTGAAAGCAGAGGTTAGTACGGATCTGGATATCGTTTGTGCTTTCAGAGTTTTTATTTTTATTCATTTTTATTCGTACCTGAAATTAGAGTGTCAAAAAGTTGTTCAAAAATTATGTCACGATTAAGGGAAGGGGAAATTTTGATGCTTGTGATTTTTTTTTCAAAGCCTTTTTTTTCAAGTGGCATTCCTACTTTTTAAATGGGTTAAAAAAATCGACTGCCGGAAAGTTTAAAACAACTATAAACAAAAAGTTTTAAAAAAACAAAAACAAATCTAAACTACACTTATAAAAAAAGACGTGATAAATTCAAGCAATAAGAAAACCAAACAAAATAATGATTAACCATTCAGTGCAGTCGTAAATAAAATTGCTGTGGCATTCCATTCTAGTTTCTAATAACTTGATCTATTTTTATTTTTATATTTAATGTGAAATGTCACCATATAGCCATACGCCACCTACTTTACGATATTTCAAAATGTGTAACTTTTTAGAATATACAAATTTAGGTTTTAAGTATAAAATTGCTTTGTTAGTCTGGTCGCTATGGTTCATTAGGCTTCAGAAGAGTTTGCTATCGTCTGATGGACGTCCTAATTGGTCCAATGTTGTCCGATGAGGTCCGCTTTAATCGGAGGCAGTCCATTTGTATGCTTAGCACAAAATATATTTTTTACGTAAATCAAACTAAAGCATTAAGTGATAATAGCATTAAAGTAGTTAAACTATGTACATATGACAATGTAACAATTAAAGAATATAAAAATTATATATATATATATATATATATATATATATATATATATATATATATATATATATATATATATATATATATATATATATATATATATATATATATATATATATATATATATATATATATATATATATATATATATATATATATATATATATATATATATATATATATATATATAAGGATGGGTCAAAAAATTTTTTTCTCTTGTTACAGGCTCTAAACATTGCTAATAGTTATTAATATTGATACTATCAAATATGAGAATGATTTTGATAGATTTAAAGGGCGCAACTTTATTGGGAAAATTATCGGTACCCTAATATTTTGGAGAAAAAAAGTTTTTCAAAAGTAGGTCAACCTGGTACTCAAAAGAAGCGAAATTTAAAAAAAATTCGGAATGAATAATTGTTTTATAAAAATCATATTGCTGAAAAAAATAGTTACTAAAAAACATGTAAAAATGCACCTCTTTGACTTTTAGTTAAAAAACTATAGTTATTATGCAATAAAATCTAAAATAATAATTTTCATATGAAAAAATAATTTTTGAAATTTTTATAAAATTTCGCTTTATTTGAGTACCTACATCGCATAATTTTGAAAAACTTTTTTTTTTAATAATAATAGGGCCTGCTAATTTTTGTAATTATAGTTGCGGGTGGAAGACATTGTTCAATCCATAAAAGTAAATACTTTCCTAAATTAGTACATAAAAAAACAACTTTCTAGCAATGTTTAGAGCCTGTAACAAGAAAAAAAAATTTTATGACCCACCCTAATATATATATATACACACATACATATATTAGTTTAAGTTAATTTAGCTCAAATGGCTACACGAATAAATAAATATAAAAATCAGTCCTTTGATTCTCAAGAACTAAGAAGGCGACGAGAAGAAGTTGGAGTTCAGTTAAGAAAAACAAAACGAGATGAGCAGGTTATCATGTTTTCTTAAAAAATTGAGATTTTGGTTTGCATAGACTTTTATGATGTTTGAAGATTATACTATGTTGTTTAAAGTTAAACTATATTTATAGTTACATATTTATTATAAAATAAAATAAAATTCAACTATCCACAAACTTGTTATGAACCCCAATGAAATCCTAAAACAATAAATTTTACTTAAAAATTTTGATCAAAATCAAGTTGTTTAATCTCATGGTCTTAAAAGAGACTAATATTTTTGGGTTCATGCAGTACCATGACTTGAAACCAAGTTTCTTAATTTAATATCTGTATATATTTATGTATATACATTTCTGCTCTCGCTTTTGCCCCACTCCCATAAAAGGTTTACGTGAGCAATTTACAACTCTTGCAAAAGTTTATCACTAAAATGAAAAACACAAAGTCATTATTATAAAAAAAAATTAATTGCATAATAAACTGCAATGCTTTTTAGAAGGCATGGTTAATGCAAAAAAAAAAAAAAAATTAAAAAAGAGTGCCAATTTAAATGTAAATGTTTTTGATTAGATTGCACTAACTGATGAATATAAAATTATTATACTTTAAATTATATTGATTAAGTATAAAATATTGATTAAGTATAGAATTATTTATCTGATGAAAAATAAAATTATTACACTCTAAATTATCGCATAATAATTTATAATTTTAATAGTTTTTTTATGTAATGAATTATATGTTTTATATATTAATTACTTAAATATATTATTGGTTTTTTTGTGGAATTTTTAATTGTTGTAATTGTTCTTAAAATGCCTGCATTCTATTACAATAAGAAAATATAAAACATTTTTTATAAGCAGTAAAAACCTCTATAGTTCTTTTTCAAAATTTTTATCAAATAAGTAAATGTTGTTAATAAATAAATTAATAGCTAGTGTGATCTTATGTTAATGGAAAACATTTCATATAAAGATTTTAAAGAAGCATATAAATCTTTTCATAATAGAAAAAAGTCTTTTAATATCATATAAGTGGGGTTTTTGACTCTTTTAGTTCTTATTGACTCTTATTGGTTTAATTTAGTAGGTCCAATACTAGACCAAAGTCAAAAGCCATTTAAAAATTAAAGTTTTTAAAAGTTAAAGCCTTTGTTTTCTTTGTCTTTTGCTTTCATGCAATTTATAGAGAAATACAGATATAAAATATATGTTTAAAAAAAAAAAAATTGAAAACCTCTAACAAGTTGCAAAGTTATTTTCAGGTATTAAATATTGTAACTTCTAGTTATTCTTAAGGATTGTTATCACTAGTTAAAGAATATATTGGTTATACAGGGGTTTATGTTTTTAAAACTTTAATGTGTTTACATAAACAGAAAAGAAGATGGAGAAGTCATCTTATATCATACATCTTATATTACATAGCTATAGCTTTATAAAATTTTAAAAATTAAATCAGAAATTTACTTTTTTTTAGCAATTGAAAAAACTTTCATAAATGAAATGAAATTCAAAATTGGATATGTTTATGCTTCCATCAAATAAAGATGCTTTGCAAAAAATTCCAAGAGTAAACTTGTACCCATCCCCACCCCATATGTGTAGGCAAAAAGTTAATAAATTTTATACTAATACTATTCTAAACTAAATTTATATTCATTGACAGATTTTAAATTTGATCTAATAATATTTTAATGTTTGAAAGTTTTCACCCTTCCAAGATGAGGTTTTACCCTTCCTTCCTTAACAAAACTTCCTTCTTTCCAAAACAAGGGGTTTATAAACTCTAGCAATCATATTCCATGGATATGCAATGAACATATAAATGCTTTTAAAAACTAATTATCTGTTTTTGTACAAAAAAGGTTACTTTAATGGGTCATTCCCTTCTATTTGTAAAATCCATATCCAATGCTTATAGCTTTCTATATTATAATACAAAAGTTAAAATAAATATGCTACAATAGTTTATAAATTTTTGGCAATAAAACATGAATGTCTATCAATCAATCATATATTAAGAAAAAGTTGTAAAATTAAGTAATCTATAAACAAAAATGTTATACACCAGTAAGTTGCAGCAATAGCCAGTTCTTTTCTACTTGATAGGTATCTAAAAGTTTTTTAAGCAAAAACTAAAATTTATTAAACAAGTTATTGATAACTTTAATACTTTTGAACTAAAAATGTTTTATATGTTGCTTCCCTGAATAAATGAAAGTTTTGTAATTTTTTTTTTTTTGACATTTCACAATAGTTATCAAAAAGAAGAAATGTTGAGGTTCAAGGTGTTGAAAATAATGTTCTTAACATTGACGATGGCTCTGTAAGTAACTTTTCTGTTATTTTAATAAAAATTTTAAAAAATTTGATGAAAATAAATTCCATCAAGACTGCTTTGTTTGCTCTTAAAGGAGTACACAAGTAAAAAAGTATAAAGTTCAAAGCACATTGCATGGAAGTACCACGTGTAAATTATTTCTGATTGCAGCAGCTTACTATCTATCAATAGATGACAGTTATACCCTATAGCTACACCTTAAAATAACAGTTAGAGAAAAAACAGATTAGTATCAAATAAGTAAACAGAGAAGTTGCTAGTTCTGTTAACTTGTTCTTTTTGTCTAAAATAGATACACAGCTGTCATCACCAAATTGAACTACTTTAGACCATTAATTTAGATGAGGAACAGGTAAGACCATTAATTTAGACGAGGAACAGGTAAGACCATTAATTTAGAAGAGGAACAACAAAGGACCAAGGATGGAACCTTGTGGTACCACAGAATTTATTTGTATGTAAACCCAAGGGTAAGTTTAATACTGATGAATAAACTGTACTGATTTCATGACAAATAAGTGAAATACTAACAAGTATATGTCTAGACCAAGCATGTGACTGTTAGAGTATTTACAAATCAAAGAATAATTGCCATCAACTCTATGATCCAAAGATAAAACAGTTGAATTTATATTAGTTTCAAAACGCAAGTAGGTCTAGTAAATTTTTACCGAGATGAGATTCAATAGATGAAAAGGTATTTTAAAGACCACAAATATTTGTAAAGTAAATGATAGAAAGATTCAAACAGTTTAATGGTAATAAGGTTATTTTTCTGTTTAATATTTTATTCATGTTTTAAATTAATATAGAACTCAACTCAATCACAGATAATGTATAACACTCTAAACAATAAGTTTTGCAGTGGCCTCATTCCTGTTAATCTATTCAATATTGCAAAAAGGGCTCATTATGTGGCCTTGACAGCGCACACCAAAAAGCAATTACATTTTTCATGTGTAAAATGGCACTGTTAAAACTCTAGCATTTTACAACTGTTGATTGAACTGTTGAATAAGCTTCTCTGAGAGAAATACTAAATTTTTGAAACCTTTAAGGACAGCCCTACCTTCCCCCCTTCCTCCCCAGATAGCCAACGGTGTACTTAATGCTTTTATAGCAATTTAATTGACTATTTTTACTACCAAATTCATTACATTTTGGATCTTCAAAGGAAATGTTTGTGCACACAGCACTTCTTGGTGTAATGGTGCATTGAAAAAACTCTTTGTACCATCTGTAGCAATAGTTATTACTTTATTTGGATGAGTTTCATTTTTTCTATATTCAATTATGGTGGACTTAATATCTTCTCCACAGATTTGTCCTTTGAACGGAATCAAAGTTAGCAAATATTTGGGTTTGTTTAAAAAACAATTCTTTATATAATCTCCATCTGTAAAAGGTTTTCCACACTTCATTATTTCTCGAAAAACATAAATGCTAGCTGCTGTAAGAGTATTTAAAGACTGTATCTATTCTTTGAATTTCAAGAATGAATGTTATGTATTTCGTTGCAATTCTAATATTTTGGTCTTTCTGTGCAATTTTTTTTCACGCATTCATTTTTGTGGAAATAAGCTCGTGCTTTAATGAAATGCTGGCAGTATCATATAAATAACTAGATAATTTATTTTAATATAATTTTAAACTATTATTGATTGAATTAAGATTTTTCTTTGATAAAATGTTTAATTTATTAAATTAAATTTTTATAGTTTTAATAAAATAAAGTATTTATAATTTGGACAGGCTGAAGAGCCACTTACCTTAAATAAAAGAGTTGCATACAGCTTGCTAGCCACAGGTTGCCGACCAATGTAGACAAAAATTAATTTATTACCTCTAAAAAATTTTCACTTGAGAGATTTTCTACAAGAGAGCAGTTAAATGCAATTTATATCTGCTCAAGATGAGTATTTTTATTGAGACATCTCTATCTCTAGACTTTACTCAACTATGAGCCCAATACAGAGTAAGTATTTTAAGTTTTTCTCACAGTCTTAAAAGATTAAATTCTACAATGCGACAGGTTATGTTCAGGTAGTACTGGATTACATGTTACTAGTAGGAGGGCTATTGTGATGACCTGACTTTACCAGGAGCTAGATAAGATATCAAAAAGTATATTATAAATTAAAAATTATATGAAATAGTAGCAACTATGTAAGACCTTTCTCTAAAGGATTAAATCCTACTATGCATCAGACTAAAAAAAATATCTGGGGCTGTATAAAAATTTCAAGAACCACATCAGAATATTAGGAAAAACATTAGAAGCAACACAAAATCCCAGGAACTGTACAATTTACTAGGAATTACACAAGATAATAGGAATTATATTTAATAAAATAGAAATTATATATGATAAAATAGAAATTATATATGATAAAATATAAATTATATATATATAAAATACCAGGAGCCATATAAAATACAAGGAACTACACAAATTACCAAAAACTATGTGAAATATTGGGAACCTTATATTTGCATTGATTGTGATCACATTTATTTCTAATTTATATTTGCCAAATCAAATTATTATTATTAAATTTGCAAATAAAAATTATTCTAATTTATGTTTGCATTGATTGTGACCATATTTATTTCTAAGGTTTTAAATAAAGTTCAGATACAGTATAACATCTAAAAACATTTTTCTTGGTTTTGGCAATATTCACAATTGCAAATAGATAACATCTCAATTATATAATTATTTCTGTAAAAGCTTTTAAAAGTATTTTGAAAATTATATATGTATATATATATATATATATATATATATATATATATATATATATATATATATATATATATATATATATATATATATATATATATATATATATATATATATATATATATATAGGGCATTTCCAAAAAATCACGCATGGAAACTCGTATATATTTTTACTTTTACAGAAAAACTTCTATTTTAGTTACTAGATAAATAAACTTTAAATCCTCTGACAATATAAGTTTCACCGGTATACTTTTTTTTTTAAATAATATTTTAGACATTAGTAAAGATTTCCAGAAAGTTACAGGATTGCACTATGAATCATAGAGTCACAGCAATCATTTAAATGCAGTTTATGAATGATCACGCACGGAAGTCACGCACGGATGTTCCGAATTTGTCAATTTCATGTAGTTATTTTTATGAAAATAAATTGCTAGTGAGTATTTCAAGTGAAATACTCACTAGCAATTTATTTAAACGGCAGTCATCAATTATTTCTAGCTAGAGTATGGCGTTTTGAAAATTATTGTATATTTTTCAAAATGTAGCGATATTATTACTCAAAAAAATAAAATTGTAAAAATGTGTATATTTAATTTATTCAGATAGCCTAAAATATGATAAAAATACTTTAGTTATAATTGTTCTTTAAGAAAATCAAAATAGTATGCATATTGCATAAAGTCCCAGCTTTTAATTGCTAAAACAAAGAAAAATAAAAAATCACGCACAGAAATGGAAATGCCCTATATATATATATATATATATATATATATATATATATATATATATATATATATATATATATATATATATATATATATATATATATATATATATATATATATATATATATATATATATATATATATATGTATATATATATATATATATATATATATATATATATATATATATATATATATATATATGTATATATATGTTGTTGTTTTTTTTTATGTTAAACCAAAAATTATTTAGTTTATGGAAGCACTTCCAGACTTGATCAAAGAAATAATGTCTGATGACAGAGTTGCTCAACTACATTCAACTCAAATGTTTCGAAAACTGTTGTCTAAAGGTATTAACATGACAGTTTGTTTTCAGTATTTATTGTGGTATTTAAAACATTTATTTGACATAAATGTTTTAATGTTGCTCTGCACTCGATTAGTGTTAAAATTTTTATTGTAGTATATATAGCTCAAATGTTTTAAAACTTATTTCCATTGAATGTCACATAGTCATGTAATCATTCACATTTCTTTATCGCATTATATCTATTGGTTGTTTATTTATCACAAATATTTTGGAAATATTTTGATGATTTTTAATCATCGTCATGTGTCAATGCAGCCATCAAATATAGAGTTAGACTTTTTTTTGTAATGTGTTAAGTAAATTTTGTGTTATTAAAGATATCATTTGTTTTTTAGATCCAAATCCACCAATCAATGAGGTGATAGAGGCAGGCATTGTTCCTCGATTGATTTACTTTCTTTATCAGGTTGATAATAATCTTCTGCAGGTAAAAGATTTTTTTTGCAATAAATAAAATTTTACTATTTTTTTTTTTACTTAATTTAAAAAAATATTTGTCAAATGATTGAAAAATTTATATTCCTTATATATATATATTCATTATATATCCATATAGCTTGAAAAAAGTTCTTTAATATTGCAATATTGCTTAAACAAAAAGCAGTTGTTTATATAGCATTTCAATGATTTGAAATAATTTAAAAAAGATTGTCAATGATTTTTTTTTACTTTCATTAGTAAAAGGCATAAAACTTTTTTTATACATGTTTATGTACCATTTGATTTAATTATATACAGTAAAATATCTAATCAAATGCAGAGTAGCTATTTTTGTCACAATTTTTTTTTTTTACCGTATAAATACTCTAATATATTTCAAAGTTAATACAAATGGTCAATTTTTTTTTCTCTTTTTTTTTGTTGCTGTATAAATACTCTAATATATTTCAAAGTTAATACAAAAGGTCAATGCAAGTAAAAGACTGTCTTTAGCTAAGCCCTCTAAGATGTTCATGTAAAAAAGTATATAATGTCTTATACAATAGGGTTCATTCCATTTTTGCAATTATTTAATGCTAAAATGGTCATTCTTGATCCACCCACTTACCCTATCACAATTGATCATATTTCTAGAACTAGAAACCCTACCCTAAATACTGTTCACGAAATAGGGGTGAGTATATCTAAGAAAAACTGCATTTTGATTGTTCATGTTTAGCCATAAGAAATAAATATTAACAAATACATTTTTTCATCTCCTAGTAGTGGTATACTGTAAGGGTTGTCCTGACTTTATTGATAGAGGATAAGGAGAATTTTATTTGGATTGAATTAGTTCATGGAGGATCAGGTGAATAGTTCTAGAATCAGAAGAGATATAAGAAACAAAGAATAGCATTTTCCCTTAAAATTTTGAAAGTTGTACGATAAAACAAAAAAATTTAAACAGACTTGGTCTTTCCACCAATATGTGAACCAAAATTTTCATGATCAAAAATTAACCTACAAATGTCATTATATAGTTGTTTTAAATTCACATGAATTATATGCATTGTAGCTTTTAAAGGTAACAACAGCTATATAGATGTCAAAATCATGTTTCGGGAAAATATTAATTGCATAATCAATAACTTTTAAATAATTTGCATTATCTTTTTTTCTGACATTATTTATCTTAATGTGATAAATTAAGTTTTTTTTTCTTTTTTGCCTCAGATCTAGGCCTTTCGCTGCATTCCCTTTTTTTTCAATCAATGACATCAATGTGTCAAATTTGTTTACAAACTATGGAGTACTTTTCATATCACCTTCAGATATAAGCTCCATACCTAGTTAACGTATACAAAAATGTCATGTGATTTATTAAAATGCACATGAAAAATATGTATGAAAATTTAAAGGTTTATTTCTGTTGTTAAAGTGTTGTTAAATTAATGAAATATTAAACAGTTTATTGCAAAAAAGACTTGTTAAGCCAGTTATGCCAGTTAAACGCTGTACATAAGTGTAATAAATAATTGTTTTGTAATATTAATATATTGTAGTTATTGTTAGTTGTTTTATTAAGTTAGTATATTATTTAGTTATATGTTTTTTATTTAGTTTGAAGCTTCGTGGGCATTAACTAATATTGCTTCAGGAACATCGATTCAGACACGTTTTGTTATCGAAGGAGGAGCAGTTCCTGCATTTATAGAACTTTTATCTTCACCTTATGAAGATGTCCAAGATCAAGTAAGACTTATATTCAAAGAAAAACATGGGACCTCCCTCAAAAAGTCCCTAAAAGTTTTTATAACTATTTTTAATTAACAGAATAAGAGTTTTTAAAATTTTGTTAACCATTATTGATTAATTTATAAAAACACTTAACCATTATTGATTTCCTTTAAACAATCATAAAAGATAAAAGTTGATTGGATATTTAAAGTTTATTTGGCAGTGTGTTTAAATCAAAAAAAAATTTCAACATTTCACAATAAATTAAAGTTTTGAAACTACTCACATGCAGGCTTGGTCGGGAAGCGGGAGCGATTGCTCTCGATTGCTGACCACAGAAATAATATTTAGTTGCGAAAAGCTGGCCAGATTTTTTAGTTGTTTTGAGAACATTTCAAAAAGCAAAAAAAAATGGGCATAAGATTAATTGGACCAACGAGAGACAATTACAAAAAAAAAAATCAGGAAAATAAAATATCTTTTAACGCAATAAAACTTAAAAGAAAATAAATTACGTTTAGAACAAATATTTTTGAAACATCGCTCTTTTATAATTTTTTTATAAAATTAAGCGACATTTTTTATATTAAGTAACATCTTACGTTTGTTTAAAAATGTTCTTTATTTATCAAAGTTTGCAAGTTTTTGTTTTATCTAAGCTAAATTATTTTATAATAAAAATGTTAATTTGTTTAATACCTATTTTATGTTTCGCGTAGTTTGAAAAGTTTAACATATTTGAAACAATTCTTCTTAGTAAGATAAACAAATGAAATAATTAAATCATTGAATTACTAAAGAAATTAAATTTACTAGATAGAAATCAACTAAAAAAGTTAAAAATACTTTTATGACGAGGAAGCGAAACTGCTTCATAATATCGCTAATGATGTTTAGTGAGTTAGCTTTTTAATTTTAATTAGTATTTAAAGCGAAAAAAACTATAACGAGTTTTTAAGAATGGCAACTTATTAGAAAATAATTAGATTTAGTGAACCAATATCTAGAAACTTTTCTTTATATTTAATAACTTGCTATATATATTTATGTTCTGTTGTGACCTCAGGCGCGGTGCTTGTTTATCCGCGAGTTACTTTGTATGCATAGTTTGTGATTAGTAACCAGAAACTTCTTATATGTTTGCTACATAATTAGTTTAATTAACTTTAATGGTTATTAATAACTTCATTGAAAACGCAAAGTCTTTGTTTACAAATTAAATCGATGAAAAACATATACACAATATTACATTTACATAAAAAATACATACTCTTTAAATAAGTATATACTAATAAAATCTACAATTTATAATAAACTTTTGTTTATTATAAATTATAATAAACAAAAGTTAACTATAACAAAATTTCAAAAGTCAAAAGTTACTATAACAAAATTTTGACAATTTAAATAATATATATTTAAAAAATTTATTTATGTAAACAAATAATAATAGTTAATAGATTTAGGGCTATGCAGATGTGGCCCCAAGAATGAGCCATAGAGTTGATAATATATTCTTATAACAATCTATGCTAGAAATCTCAAAACGTAACAAATCATGAATAAAACAATTTCTACAACATTTCAACATAATACCCTAGAACTTTATTTGGCTTAGTCAGCGTATTTTTTGAACCAATAGAATTAGTTTGTTTGTTAATTTGGCGGAGTTTTAGAGTTCGCAAATGTTCTTTTTATTCTTCCGCACCAAGATGTTTTGAGAACATTCAAGTTTTTTATGTTTCCATGTATGTCCGTAAAACCAAAATTTATTGTTTCGTACATAAACTTAAATGTTCTCAAAACAACTAAAAAACCTGGCCAGTTTTTTGCAACTAAATATAATTTCCGTGGTCAGTATTCATAAGCGATCGCTCCCTCTTCCCGACCAAGCCTGCACATGTAGTTAAATATTTGATTAAATCCTTTAATAAATATTTAAGTAATAATAATATTCAAAATAAATTCAAAATATTAACACTTAAAGTTGTTTAAAATTGTTTTAGTATGCTTTTAGGCTGTTTGGGCTCTTGGAAATATTGCTGGTGATAGTGCTGAATTTAGAAATTATGTTACTGAATGTGGAATACTCGAGCCATTGCTTAAGTAAGTCATTTAACTAAAAGGTTATTATGTTACATTAAAGTTAATAAAAGTATTCCAAAAAAAATTCACATGAGTCTGACCTGCTTTACCCCAAAATTTTTTAATTAAATAGTTACCCAGGTATTGTGTAACCATTTAATTTAAAAGTTATGGAGTAAAGCAATGTTTATGAAAGTTTTTGAAATATTTCAAAATTTTTATAAACATTTATATATATAACAACAAAGTTAAGTGAATATAATGCTAGTTAACCATTATATTTGGCATTATATTTATCCATTATGTTTGCTTAACTCTGGTGTTGTATTGAGAAAAAATAAACTAATGTTTCAAACACTTTTATGTTATATATATATATATATATATATATATATATATATATATATATATATATATATATATATATATATATATATATATATATATATATATATATATATATATATATATATATATATATATATATATATATATATATATATATATATATATCTGACTAATCAATTTACAAACATGGTATACAAAAATAAAATTAAAAACGTTTCAAGAAAACAGTTGCTACAGTAACTGATATTATTTTATGCTCTTTGACAATGGCCAAATAAATTGTGTATAGTTTGACCATATATAGCCAAATAAATTATGTATAGTTTTGACCATATATCGCCAAAAAGGTTATGTATAGTTTGACCATGTATATATACATATATATATTAAAATTTTTACAGCATTAAGGGACAGGTACAATTAAAGAATGCAACTTTGTCAAATGACAAGCCAAGCAACAACAAGTTTTTGTTGATTGAACTTTGGATGGTAGCTCCTTTGAGCAGCAACCATGGTAGTAATTGTAGGAAAAAAAAGAGGCGCAACCATAGATAATGGTAGAATGGCTCAAGTTTGGCATATAAAGCAGGTCCAATTACATTTGCAATGTGCTTTCAGACCTTGTCTGAGATTAGGTGGGTTGTTATTTGTCAATATAGGAATGTCAACAGGGTGTTAACCAGGAATAAATTTGATACAGCATTTTTACAAATGTCAAAATATTTCCCAAACCTTTCCCTTCCCCCTCCCCTGAGATTAAAATGTGTTTTGGGAATGTGTGGGGTCCTCTTTTTATATATTTTCCTTCTACTCCACTGCAGCGCTGTATACATTGGTTGGACAGCGCCAAAAATAAAATAAAATACCATCATATTTTGAAGATAAATATGAAATCAACACAAAATTAGACGTAGTTTCACAACAACACGGCAAATTAAACTCCGATTTTCAAATATAGGGGGCATCCATAAAGTACGTACGCAGTAAAAACACTGATTTAGGACCCCCTTGTACGAACCTGTACGCTTTCAAAATTAACTCGATTTCTTTTTTTTTCTCCTCATTATTTATAAAGAAATAATTAAGAAAAACACAATTCTGATTTGTTACACATGTGAAATTCAATGTTTTAAAAAAAAATAAAATTATGTTTAGGAGAGATAGTCAAACCTCGCACGTACTCACTGTCTTTAACACTCCCTCCCCCCTCGTACGCATTTGTACGCTTTTGTGAAACTTCTCCCCTCCCCCATACCTGCGTACATATGTTATGGATGGCCCCATACATTAAGAATTATATATTTTTATATTATAAAATAATCAGCGTATTTTAACTATTATTAAGAACAATATATTTGATTTATTTTTAATCTTAATATATCATTGCCACTTTCATTTTAAGAGAATTCTTTTAAATATATATATATATTTTTCAATGGTGCGCATTAAATGGCAATTTTTAAAGTAATATAGCGATTTAAGTACAAAAATACAAAATCTCAGCAATAACAACAACAAATGTTGTTTAATTACACAAAAAAAAGTGATCACAAGCGCTTGCACGCTATTGTGGAAACAAAGAATACCAGCAATTATTTTTTCATTTATAGTCATAAAATGTTACTATTGACTATGGTTCATTCAAACATTTAAATTTGCTTTTACGTTTTAAATTCAAGCAAGCAGTGAATCCAGTTTTCTTGATTTTTAAATTTCTAGTACCAGCTTGTTGTAATAAAAAAAAACATTCTTGTTATTAAATGTATTTAATTTACTTTTAATAAGTACTTAATTTATGTTTTAAATAAAAGCAAGCAGTAAAGTATCAGTTTTTTGTACTTAACTTATATTTCAGAGGTGGTCTTTTAAAAAAGTTTATCGAGAAAAGATAGTAGATGAGTAAAAAATGATTTTAGTCAATGTTATCACGTAATTCAGTTGATATAAAATACCAAACAAAAAATGATAAACAATAACTAAAAGACTTTCTGTAATATCCGTAATTGATCAAAATTTCAAAAGTATCTAATGTAGGCAGCTTCTCAATATTTTTGTTAACAAATCACACTTGAAGTAGATTTTGCAGTAAGACTTTAGTAAGTAAGAATAAGTTATTTAACTTTTCAGCCAAAAAGGGCAAAACTTTGAAAAAAATGGTATTTATGGGTGTTAAACCAAACAAGTTTGTTATTTTTTTAGGTTGTATTCTATTTCTTGCTAACTTTTTCACATAATATTTGCTGTAGTTGGGATGCAATGCAAAAAATTATTTGCAAATTTTACAAGCAAGTTTTTGAGAAAATCCCTAAAATCGCTGAGAAAATTCCAATTATCAAGAATTTTTTTCTAAGAGGCATTTTTGTAGTTACACCAATAGCAGCGATTTTATTTCAAGCTTTACACTTTTTTTTTTTTTTTGAATTTTATTTAGGTGCCCTAAGAAGCCTTTACAGTCTTATCACAGCACCGTGGATTATCATTTAATAGAAAGTTCATTTCTCCTTCCTAAGTGATGTTGTAAAACTTGCCCTGAAGTGGGGTTCAAACCATGGATCCTTTATTTCTAAGACAAGTGCGCTACCACTGCGCACGACTGCTAATTAACAAATTAAAGTTTTTTATGTTATTTTTTTATTAGTTTTTTAAAACAATTAATTTTCAATAATTTTTAGAATTATTATTAAACTTTAATTTGGCAAACTTTATTTGGAGAATAGGATTTTTTCACCTTTAAATTGGAAAATTAATTTTTATGAGCATTTGGGAATACCGCATTTGACGGGGCCCTGCAGGGTAGTTTACACCCTGGTCAACAGTATCGTGTTGTTTACAGTAAATAACTTTTTTGTAGTGATCAGAGTAATGATTAGCTGCTTGTTGCTAAGCAATCAAAAAATGCTTTTTGTCAAGACAAGAGTATAAAATTGAGTTGTCAACAAATAGAGCCACTTTTAATGTAAGACTGTCAGAAAGATTGTTATTGTAGATACGAAACAATACAGGAGCATAGATAGAACATTGCAATTGTAACCATTCTTCATTTTCTGTAATCTTTAAAATTACTGGAAATGAAGATGAGTGGAAAAGAAGTGAAGAGTGGAGGATTTTGAGAATACTGCGGAAAGAACTGATTTAATATTCTCAAAACCTTTACATAAAAAAACAGAGAGATGTCTAAATAAACATATGTTTACTATTAAATTTAGATGACATCATATAATATCTTTTTATATTTATATAAATATGAAAAGATATTATATATATATATATATATAATATATATATATATATATATATATATATATATATATATATATATATATATATATATATATATATATATATATATATATATATATATATATAAAACATAACATGAATTTCAAATTAAAAAAAAAAACAGAATGTATGTATAAATATATTGCTAGATCTAGATGTGTAATTAGAAAGTCAGAGTGGTTTGTACTTTTTTTACGGTTTTTACGCTCATATTATTGAGATAAATTTTCTTTAATAAATATAAAAAGCACCAACTTACAAACTTATTTCGCAAAGTTGAATAATAAAACACACAACCATTACAGAGAGAAAATGAATCACAGTCTTTAAAACTTTTTTTTAAATTAAATTAAGCGCATAGGGAAACAGTTATAAAATATAAGCTTTTGTGAGTTGATCTTTCGGCTTGTTATTTTGTATATGATCTTTTGCAAAAAGATTTATATTTTGCCTCTGATCTTCATTTGTAGATGCCTTCATGTAGTCGTGTATAAGCTTGATGTTTCTTTCATGTAGTCTTGTATAAGCTTGATGTTTCTTTCATGTAGTCTTGTATAAGCTTGATGTTTCTTTTAGCACACTCGTTAGTAATAGAGAGATATTTAACAAATAAATAGAACTTTCAAAATCTTTCAGTATTCTCTCAAGATTTTACCCCACCATAAACTATTTGTTCAACTTTGCCTTTTTGAAACTCTAATAATTTCAAAAAGATACCAAGACTCTGGACCAACAAAGAAGAGATAGTGTTGTTTCAGAATCAAGAGCTGGAATATTTTGAGGATACCCAATCGCAGATGTAAAATAAGGAAATTTAAGTAGGTTATTCATTTTTATTTTTTCATTATCTTCAACATCATGATCTCCAATTGCTAACACAACTAGCTGAGGAGTTAGATACCGAAAATGTTGTCTTATTCTCTTTAGTTAAAGACTATCCTAACTGGTCATTGTATTGCTCTTGTATTTTAAGAATTGCCCTGAAAGCAGCAAGGTCATTTGTGGGTGCTTATGAAGATTGAGAGTATTTTAAAAACCATGATACTTAAAAAAATGGCAGTAAAAAAATTTCCATTCTGTACCTCATTTCCTTCCTTTTCTGTCATTATTTTAACAATTTTTGCAATTTCCAATGTAAGGAGGTAAAGCCTGTCTGCCATAAAACAAGCCTTATGACAAGCACAAGGTTGGTGGAATTTAAAATAAGTTACATTTCCACCAAGATTAAAAAAAAAAAACAAGCTGTCAAAGGTTCCTATAATCACTTCTTGCAAAAGTATTTTTGAGCAGAACTTTAGAATAGAAAGTAATGGCATCTTTTGCAAGAGTGTACAACACTGAATCAACTTGTAGAATATCCCAACTCATTTTTACAATATTATTTAAGGTGTTCACTTCTCTACAATCTTCGTTCCATTTTTTTTTAAACTTTAAATACAATGCTCTATGGGGGCCTTTTATCTTTCCTGTGAGAACTTCTATGAAGTGAGACATATGCACCTCATATATGTGATGCCTGCATAACAACCATATTAAAAGGAAGTTAAGCTTTGCGTTCAGTAATTAAATTGCTCTTGCATATTTCCCCCGTGTTACAACTGGTTGTATCACAGCAACAATCAAACAGTTGATTAACACACTCGTAATATTCTAATAATTTTATTCGCTCTATTGCCTGGCATTCTCCAGTACCATTTTTAGTTAGGTAATCCCTAACACTATATCGTCACGCTTTTGGTGAACAAACGCTCACAGCCAATCTGTCATAAACAATAGATATTTCAAGATCTTCTGAAATCTCTTTAACTAGTTTAGTGTCAAAATGTAGAACTAGTTTTTAACCTCTTAGTAAATCAATTAATTTCTTGAAGGACTGAATTGCCTGAAACTGTTTTCTGTGAACAGAAGACCTAGAGACAGTTCTTTATAATTACAATAAGATTTGAAATAGATGGCAGGCATAATTGTGGTCTGAGGTCATATTCCAATATTACATTTTGCTGCTAAAATTGATGTTCCTTTAATTAGTTCATCAGGAGTAAGCTCTATTATTATTTAGCCATTTTCTTTATCTCTATTTTCTCTCTTATCTAAAAGCGTTTAATAGATATAATCTATGAATCTCTTTTTGTTTTTGTTTTTTTATAGTTAGAAATCCGAGTCTCCTCTTTTCAGTTCTAGTTCTGTAAGTTGCATCATCTTTTTCCTCAATGAAAATTTTCCTTTCCTTCATCTGGTCCTTAAAGAATTTTAGATCAATTTCAACTCCTAGATCATTAGTTACTCTTATTTTCTGCTTAAATTTTTTGAAATATTTAATAATATAAAATTATTTAATTCTAAAAAAAAAATTCCTCTACTAAAAAATTATGTTTTGCATCATCTTTAAACTCAAGTGATTTCAATTTTAGCATTTTAGTGTGTTTTTTATTGAACTTCCCTAAATAAAATTAACTGTCCCTAAATAAAATTAAAAAAATAAAAACAATTATTTTATCAATAACAATTTCCAATAAGTTAACAAAAAACGAGTATAAACTGAAAAAATATTCATTATTTTAAAGGTTACTAATTACCTTACTTGAGCTCCCTTCTGAATATAATCTCCAAAGCCTGCTGTGACCCATACAGAAATAACTTCAGCAACAGCACAATTGGTCCCAAAATGATTAACACAAAGTCCTTCAAAACACACAAGTTCAAATCCAAGACGTTTTTGTGGATATGCAATGGGAAACTATGGCGGCCTGAATCTAGCTGTTTTCAGAGTTTAAGAATAGGTAATCTCAACAGATATTTTCTACAGAAGGCAGTTTGTTGACAATTTGTTTAATGGATAATTAAGAAGGTAAACAGTTCTTCTAGGAATAATAGAGCAGTTGTATTTTCTCTTTGCACCTTTATTTTCGTTTTTGAACATTCCATGTTAAAAACAAATAAAAGTTTATATTGTGAACACTTCTGCGCTTTTGAGTTAAAATTATTTAACAAGTAACATCTATTACAGTTTATTTCAGTTACAGAAGTTTATAAACATTCTTAAACTTATCTAATGAATCTTTCTGATTTTAACAACAATGCTTTTTTCATAACAATCATTACAAAAGCGAAAGCAATAAAAATACTGAAAATATTGTTATATCCAAATTTTCAAAATTTACATCTTGCATTGTAGGCTAGATGAACCATAACATATGGGTATTTTCTTTTTCTATGGAACAAATCCCAAACATGAAGGTTAAGTCTTTTTTTTTCTTTCTTTCTTTTTTTTTTTTTTTTTTTGGGACACCCTACTGGTCACAAACTCATTTCCAGCTGTTTTTTATTGTCTGTTTTTTATTGTCTAGATTTTGAATTGTCTATTGTGCTGTAAAATACATCTTTCACATTTCAATTCATCCAAGTTTTCTAGTTCCAGTGTTTTTTTTGTTCTTTGATCAAATTATTAAGTTAATATATCAATATTTTAGCAATCAATTTGAAAACATTTTTGCTAACTTATAATCAACTAAAAACTTTAAAGTTTAGTTTCCTAAATGTGCAAGTAAATGCAAAAAATATAAGTATTTGTAAATTTAGTTTATATTTAACTCTATCAATTTTAAATTTCTCTTTTGATTTTTCTTTTTATAAAAAAAATTCTTTTCAATTGAAAATTTTACTTTTTAGCCTTTTAAATACATCTTTGAAGCTTACAACTACAAGAAATGCAGTTTGGTGTTTGTCTAATTTATGCCGTGGGAAAAATCCCCCTCCAGACTTTAGCAAAGTATCTGTTGCTCTTCCAACGCTTGCTAAGTTAATTTTTCACCAAGATGCAGATGTGATTGCAGATACATGTTGGGCTTTGGCTTATTTATCAGATGGTCCTAATCAAAAGATTCAAGCTGTCATTAATGCAGGGGTCTGTAGAAGATTAGTTGAACTGTTGCAGTAAATATTCTTATATTTTGTTTTTTAATAAAAGTATTTTGTTTTAAAAAAAAATAGAGTTATTAAAAAAAAAATGTAAATGGTTAAAAATGAATGTTACCTAGGTCACCTAATCTTAATGATTTAAGTTGATAAAATTAAGATTACCTCAGCAAAAATCTTATAAAAATAATTTTGAAAATTAATTGAATTTAATTGTTTTTTTCCCCCAAATATTTGTTTTATTTTTTTATATATTAGGAAGGTTTATATTATTTTATAGTATTTTTAAATTTTTTTTTTTTTTTATTGATTTATTTAATTAGGAACAACTTATTTATAGCAATATAAGTGCAGAGTATACATACATTGATTCAGTCATAAATGAGTTGCATACATTGACTAATATATTAATAGGCACAGTGAAGTGTACATACACGCGGGCTGAGGCTTTTGAGTTAAACAGACAGTCCATCAATTTAAAGAAAAGTTAATTTAAGATTTTAAACTATTTTTGGTCTTCTTTTTTAACTTTTTTTAACCTGGTCATAAAGTATGCTTCTTGTGGGAAAAATTAAAGTGTAATCATTAAAGCTTTAAATTATTGTTTATATTGTATTTTAATGTGTTAATCTTTTAAAAATATTTAAAAAATGTTTTTTTTCCCTGACAAACTTTTGCATTAAAAAAAAAATAAACTCCAATTAATATCTGTTTTGTTTTTAAAAATTTTGAAGATTGCTTTGACCAATCATTTTTTAATCTTATTATTAGCACTTATCATATTAGCATTATTATTAATCTTATAATTAACAAACTTCTAATATCTCATCTTGAGTCTGTAACTACAGAGCATTGATCTTTTGTTTCTACTACTATTCATAATTTAGATGGAGTAAAACTCTTGACCTATCAAAGGCTTTCAATAAAGTGTAACGTGCTGGACTTGTACATGATGCTTTCTTTACATGAAGTATCTAAAGCAATCATCTTGCAATCATATATAGATATTGAAAAAATTGCATAGAACAGATATACAAGTTTTAATACAATTTTGATGAGGGGTTTGCAAGCATAGTTGACATAATTGATTTAGTTTGACTATCGGGTGGACATGGAAAAATCCAGTCAACTTTAAATTGAGATTTCTCTAAAACTACAAATACTTTTTATTTCTTTTATTTTTTTAATTAAATGTTACTTCCTTATTTTTAATTGTGTTGATAAACTTTTGTTTATAAATCCATGATTTGCAAAATGTTTTAGAAACAAATTGATATGCGTAAAAATGTTGTGAATTTTTTTTTTTGCAAAAATCTATCAAATTCATATTGCTTGATTGCTAAACGTACAAATGTCCCAAAATCTACAGTCATAGATATTATAAATAAGTTCAAGACTACTCAAAGCTTTGAAAGAAAACCTGGAAGTGGAAGAAAGAAAACTTTCCATTATTCCAAACTTTCCATTAAGGCAAAGGCAATTTTATGTTCAATAGCAAGAAATCCAAACCAGTCACAGCAAGATCTAGCAAGAAAATTCAAGATTTCACATTCTTATATCAAAAAAGTACTTAAAATGTTAGAATTAAAGCATTTCATTAGAAAAATACACTTAAGAGAAACTTAAATGGTGAAATTAAAGGAATTCGACGTGCAAAGAAGTTGGTTAAAATAATGACGGATAAAAGTATGTGCATAATTGGCGGCAAAACATATTGCAAGGCGGATTTTTCACAACTTCCTGGTCAACAATTTTACTATGAGAACAAAGATAAACCTGATGATGATCAATTTAAATATATTCAACAAGAAAAATTTGCATCCAAGTTTCTTGTGTGGCAGCAATTTGTAGCTGTGGTATGCAATTCTCTTGTTTTGTCACGAAGAAGACCTTGAATGTCAGTCTCTACTTCAAAGAATGCCTCCAAAAAAGACTTTTGCCATTTATGAAAAAATGGCAAAAGTCTCTTTTGACCAGATTTTGCTGCTTTTTACTATTATAAAAAAGTTCTACAGTGGCGCAAAGATAATAATGTAAAAATTGTTCCTTAAGATGCAAATCGTCCTGAAGAGCGCAAGATTGAAGATTTTTGGGCAATAGTTAAAGGAGTTTTTTGTAAGACAGGTGGAGTAATAAAAAATAAAAAGGACTTAAAAAAAGTAGATTAATCCCACCAATAAGGTGAAAAAAGAAAAAATCTGCGAAATAATGGCATCAACCCGTTATAAAATTTAATCTCTTGGCAAACAGCCCATCAAGTCCTTTGAAATTAAGTTAAAACTCTAATTGATGTAAACACGCTTAATAATAAAAAAAAATTGAGTTAAAAAGTATTTATGGTTTTAGAGAAATCTTAATTTAAAGTTGACCAGATTTTTCCGTGTCCACCCGATATTTTAGTCTTCTCTCATTATTTTTTACTCTGACCTTTATCAAAAAAAATCCAAACTATTGCAAAACTTACCTCTGCTAAGGTTGTTTTTTTTATCCCTTTTGTCATTTTCTTACTTTTGACTACATCTTTATTAATTGCTTATCCACCACTGTGTAGAGTACTATTGTCATATTTGTCGTATACTGATGATATCTTTTCACTTTGGATAAAAGTGTAAAGTGTATAAACCTTATAATGATGTGGCAATGAGTGTGCCTCTAGCAGGCACACTCATTGCCACATCATTATAATGTTTCACTTCTTTCAAATTTTTTCATATACGATCATGATTGTTGCTCAAATGAGCTACAATTTTTGTTCAACCTACCAAAATTTGTTTCATATAACATTCAGTAAAGTTGTACATTTTTGCTGTAACTGTTCCCCTTTGCTTAAGTTGATTTTAATTAGTCTGTTTTTATTAATACTATGTACAGTCTTATTGATCGTTTTTTTTTTCTTCCTGTGAATGTTAATGCTTTGGAATTCTCTTCCATTTTTAGGATTTGTCACTATATTAAGACAAGAATGGGTATATAAAAAGTACTATATATAGGAAGCCAACAGGTACAATAAGCCTTCTAGACTATGATTCTAATCACCTTTACCATTTGAAGAAAAGCATTATATATAGCCAAGCAATATGCAATCCAGTTATATCAGAGCAGGAGAATCTTTTTAAAAAATTGTTAACTTTAGCATGGACCTTCGTGTTAAAGGGTTACGCGGCGAAAGATGTAAATTTACTATTTACTGGGACTTTGCAATTTATTTTATTTAGTCAATTTAGGCCAGTTGTGTTTTAGCCATTTAACAACATTTCTTGTTTATGCTTTGAATGATATTTTGGACAGGTTCTTAAAGTGACAATACTGTTTTCAGTAGTTTTTTATATGTAATGTCAACTTAAATTCAGTTTCTAAGACATCTTTTGCTTTAGCTATACTGCACTAAAATTGCTTTTTCAGTTAGTTGCTTAGATTAAATATATATTTAAAAAGTATTTGATTAACAAGAGATTGTTCGTTTAATGCGTCTGTTGACTTCAATATCTATAAATACTCAAATTATATTGTTATTGTATTTTTTTATTAGACATGTTCAGGATAATGTTGTTTCTGCTGCCCTAAGAGCAGTTGGAAATATTGTTACTGGAGATGATACACAAACTCAGGTAAAAATATACTAAAATTGCTTTTTTTTCTTTGTTTAATTTTTAACATAACTGCCTAAGTACATAATTTAATATAGTTACTACGCTAGTTTATGCATATTTTACAAATTTAATTTTTACCTTTTGTTTTTACTGCATAATTGAAAATTTGAAAATAATTTGCAATTATTAAAAATTTTCTTAATTTTTTTTTTTATTTTTTGTTTTTGTATAGGTTATCCTAAATTGTAATGTTTTACCCAAATTTCTGACGTTACTTAGTAGCAATCGAGAAACAATTCGAAAAGAAGCATGCTGGGCTATTTCCAACATAACAGCTGGAAACAAGCATCAAATCCAGGTTAATTGTTTAATTTACCTCATTTTTAATTATTTGTTAATGCAAAAGGAAAAATAGTAAAACTGAAAATTAAAATCTTTTACAAACATCAAAAGGTTTCTTCATCATTTTTTAAAAACGTTTAGGCAATTATAGATGCAAATATTTTCCCTTCTTTGATAAACGTTCTCAGCAATTCTGAATTCAAAACTAGGAAGGAAGCGGCATGGGCTGTAACTAATGCCACTTCTGGTGGGTCAGCTCAGCAAATAGAGTATGGTTATGTTTATTTTATTTTATCTTTTTTTATTGTGTTAATAAATAATTTTAAACAGTTTTGACTCAATAGGTACATTGCAAATCAAGATGCCATTCATCCTCTTTGTGACTTATTATCTGTATTGGATTCCAAAGTCATAATGGTTGCATTAACAGGAATAGAAAATATTTTGCGCGCTGGTACTGAATTAAGTGGTTCTGGTGAATACAACAAGTTTGCTTTGCAAGTTGAGGAATGCTATGGTAACTTTTTAAAATATTTTGTCAGTGCGACCACTACTAAGTAGTTAAGAAAAAAAGTTTGACAAATCTTTGAATTTGTAAAACTTTTTTTCTTAACTACTTAGTAGTGGCTTTTTTTTTAATTTAAACTGTATTTAAACTTATATTTTTTTGAATTAAAATTTAGGATAGTAGTTTAACCAACCTATCATAATAGCTATTATAAGCCTCAATATTTATGTATAAAGGAATACATATATATTTATGTGTGTGTATATATGTATATATATATATATATATATATATATATATATATATATATATATATATATATATATATATATATATATATATATGGGCAATTCATGGTGCAAAATGAAAAAGTAGTCATATTTTATTCTATTTTTCTTCAACTTTTAGCGAATGAATATTGATGTAGACACATGAAAGTTTATTTAAAATATACCTAAAATTAATTAATTTATGCTACCAAAAGTTACGGTTTTTCTTGTTGTCGCATGATAAAAAAGGTATCATTGTAAAATGTTGTTATAACCATGAATTTATTTGCATAATCGGAATTAAATGATTGTGAAAATGGAGCTAACATGTTCAAATTGTTGTTGGTCAGATTTTATACTTTATAAAATATATATATTCTAAGAAAATAACAAATGAACTTTTGCAATTTTCATGTAACGTAAGTTAACAAAAACATGATAAAGTTTCGTTTGTTATGAAATTTAGTTAAAAAACTTAAGTTTTTTAATAATATATGCAAAAGAATATTAAATGTAACATTTAAAGTTTTAAATAATGATGCTTAGAGCACAATTTTATTTTAAATTTAAGTACCGTAAATTAAAACTACAAACATTTTCTTAAGTTCTGGCGCTTTTCATTAACAAAATGAATTATGTCATTAAGTAATTATTATTTCGTTGACAAGGTTTTAACTGGAACTTTTTATATTAGGAGAATTTAGAAAAAAAATCTTTTATTTTTTTTAATGTTAATTAAAATTATTTATATTATTGCTTTTTTATTTGTTTATGTATTCTTACTTTATTTGACATAAATAAATAAATAAAAATAAGAATTATTTAAATTTTTATTTGTATTTAGACAATAGGAAAAAAAAATTAGTTTCCTATTCTCCTGATATAAAAAAATCAGTTAGAACTTTATTTATCTTTGTGAAAACAAGGCAATACGCATAAACTTAAAGAGTGTAAGCAAAAACTTTGACAAACCAAAGATTTTCATATTTAGACGACTCAAATTAGTATTAAAAAGTTGTAATATCAAAACACTTTTTCAAAGTTGCTCTTGGTCTTGCAGAAAAACTGTTTTCGATTTGATAACTTTTATAAATGTTATGAAAAGTCACTCAGGAAGAGTGCCACCAGTTTTTTAAAATTTCCTTTGTTAATTATTTTTAATGAATGAGTTCAATATCTTTGCAATTGTTTTGTTACGTAACTCTAACTCAAAATAATAGAAGTAAAATTCTGCGATAATAATCGTAAGGTATCGTAAGTGATGAACATAAATTAGATACATAGTATCAAAAAAAACAGTTTTTTTCCTTACCCGGTCACCTATGATAAAATTTTATATTTTTTTTAAATTGGCATAGAATTTATAACATCTTGTGAAAGTTTCTAATACAAACCGCTTTACTGAGTCACAGAAATCTGACCTTAAGATTGAAGCATTTTTTTTTACCTAATTTTCCGTGTAACGTAAGTTAAGTGGCATTTTTAGTAGTAAGTTCACCGTTATTCAGCCAGGCTCAAAATTTTTTAGCTTATTTTATTTTTTAGACTAACAGCTTTCATACAAAGTAGCTAAAAGTTTAATTAACTGTTTAAATAGGCAAAAATTTAATAAAGTTGTTGCGCGTGTAACGCAAGTTAAAAATGGAATTGGCCATATATATATATTAGGGAAGGCGAAGTTTCCCTAAATTCTAAACCTTGGTTATATTTATAAAAGTATTAGAGAAAGGCAATGTTATTTATATCATGTTTATAAATTCAAAGTTTTAACTTTGTGTTAAAAAAAAAACAAACTTATAAATGGGTTGAGAACATGAAAAATGACAAGAATAATGCATTAAACCTAGAATCATTATTGTCAAATGTTTAATTTCCTACTTTTTTTGAATGATTTTTTAATAAAATTCCGAAATTTCTTTATGTAACATTTATAAAAAGCATTACTTTTCTCAAATATTTTCAAAGAAATGCCTGAAGATTTAAACTTGCTCAAAATGCAAGTGCTATAGCATGCTTTTATATCTATGCACAGAATCAAACTTGTTTAATTCACAGGCGCTGTAGATGCTTTTTTATTATTATTATTATTTTTTTAAACATCACTTCCAACAAGGCTGCAAGCAACAAATATTAGAGTGGGAAGTTACTGAAAGAGAAAAGATGAAGCTTATAAAGCAAGATAACTGTTGACAGATGACTTTAAAGATTGCAAATTATATGAATCAGGAAAACAAGATGAAGGAAGCAAATTCTAAAGAAATGTTGTTTGAGGAAAAAAACTAGACAAAAAAGAATTTTTGGAGCTTTTAAGAACAGCGACAGTAAAAGGATGAGACTTAATTGAATGACCAGTAACACAAGAATGAATTTTAGATGTAGATGACACAAGAGTCACTATGTTTACAATTTTTCCACCTTGTCTAAAAGAAAAAGGGCGCCATTCGAAGATCCGCTCCAAATATAGCAACAGTATTCCATACTAAGATGGATAAGATTTTTGTAGAGATAAAGAATAGAATCAGCAGTTAGAAAGTGGCGAGCACGGTAAAGAGATGCAACCTTAGCAGATGCTAATTTTGCAATGGGTTTGATATATGGTTTCCAAGAAAGATCGGAAGTAAGATTTAATCCCAGAAGACGAAAGGTAGATGACTCATCGAGTTCATTACTGTTCATAAATATAGAAAGATCTAGATTAGTGCAATAACGATTACCTGAAATAAAGTTGAGTTTTATCTGAGTTAAAGTTCACCAGCCACTGAGAGCCTCATGCTGTAGCAGAAATGATATCCTTTTCAAGCTCAAATGCCCCTTCCAAGCAATCAGATAGTGTTGGCTTCTTATCTAGACAAAAATAAATGGTAGTATCATCAGCAAACAATGCCACCTTAGACGTGAGAATTTCTGGGAGATTGTTAATGTAAATTAAAAAAAGTATATGGTTCCCCAAGGATAGCTCCTTGAGGAACCCCTGAAGTTACAGGGTATGAAGAAGAGTGCTGTCCATCAAGGACAACTTTTATACTACGATTGGTATGGAAGGATTCAATAATATTAAAGATGTTACCTGATACACTGTTAAAAGAGAGTTTATGGAGCAGACCAACATGCCAAACCTTATCAAAGGCTTTAGAAACCTTGCTTATGGTAATACTATGTAAGAAGACTAATAATAAATTTTTAAAATCTTGCTTAAGCACTTGTTAAAAAGTGCTTAAGCAAGATAATGATTTTAAAAAATTCTTTTTCAATTTTTTTTTTTTTTTTTTCTTAATCTTACACTATTTTTTGTTTTTACTATTTTTTTTTCTTTGATATTGATAACTTTAAAAAAATTATGATAGATAACTTGAAAAAAAAAATTAATTACCAGTTGTTATTTTTCCCTTATATTTACCAGAAAGAAAAAAAAGTCATAACCAAAAATAAAATTTCTTGTTTGTTTTTTATTTTTATAAATAGTAAAATATGTTTAATACATGTCATGAGTTATACTTTTTAATTAACATATTTAATACATAACCATGGATTAATTGAATAATATTTGCTTAACCAGTTACTTAATTGATCAATACTCACCTAACCAGTTATTAAAAGTAATAAGTATTGCAGAAATATACATATGAACTTGTAAATATGAGTTTTATCCAGACAATAAATTTACTTGTGACTCATTTTTCCAAATCAAGAGCTATCTATTCCTTGAAATATGCTTTTGAACTAGTCAAAAAAAAAAAAATCTGTAATAGAGGCAAGCAATTTTATTATAGATTACTGTGCCAAGCCATTGTTCTATTGCAGAAAATGCATTGACGAACGAAATTGAAATCTGCATTAACTAGTAGTTATCTTGAGTGTCACACTTACAAAACTTACATGCTTGGAAAAAATACTGTGATATTTGGAAGTTCATGTCCTTTAGACATCGGTTACACAAATAAAATGTGTGAAAGGTTGCTTAGGAAAGTTAAGAAATTTCTACAAAAATTGCCCTCAACCTAGAGGCCAAATTTCTAAAAAATAGTAATAAATTTATATCAATCGTTTGTTATTGTAATAAAATAGTTTAGCGTTTAAACTTTGTGTTGAGTAAAACAATGGATAGTAGCAATTGAATAACACCTAATTTTTTTAAAATCTTTATTTTTTTAACAATAACGAGTTTGCGCAGATGATAAACAAACTAAAATAAAAATTGCTTTATTTCTATTTGTAATTTTTAACAAAACTATGTAGTTTGCGTAAGGCAGTTAAAAATTTAGTCAGTTTTAACATAACTGCCTAGAGTTTGTGCAGATTTTTGAATCAGAATATATATCAAAACATCTGGTGGTTCCCTCTTATAGTGTAAAATAACACTGGATTTTGAAAATTTTGAAAAACAAAAATCAAAAAGATAAGAATTGAATTTGCAAATACAATATGTATATATATATATATATATATATATATATATATATATATATATATATATATATATATATATATATATATATATATATATATATATATATATATATATATATATATATAAATCAAATCAAATCAAATCAAATATATTCTGAATAAAGTTGTTACATCAAGGATATTTACAAATAGTAATTTGTACTAATATAAAGTAAACACTTGTCAAACTAAATAAAAATAAGATGGAGATAGTAATAATAATAATTATAATACAAGTAGGAATAATAAAAGTAATAGTAGTGATTATAGCGATAAAAAAAAAAAAAATAGTAGTAGCGATTATAAAAAGAATATACTATAATAATAATAATAATAATAACAACAAAAATAATAACAACAACAATAACAATTACAATAATATTCATTATGATAAAAATATAGTAATAATAACAACAACAGTGATAAGAGAATACTATAGAAACATATCAGTTTATAATAATAAATTTAATAATTGATATTAAAATTAGTAATATATCACGATGGAAAAGGGAAAAAATGAAAGATGAATAGAAGCACTGCGTTAGGGTTATAAATAATAAGTTGTAAAAAGGTATAAGATTTATAAAGAGTATTTTTCTAAAAAATGGTTAAAGAGAGCAGTTTTAAATTTTGAGAATGATTTAAGAGATTTTAATTGGGAAGGGAGATTGTTCCAGTTTTGTATGCTTTTATGTTGTATGGATTTGTAGCCGTAATGAACAGTTCGGTATTTAGGTACAGATAATTTAAAGTTGAGAGCAGATCGTAGAATATATTTACAGTTTTCCATATAACTAAAAAATTTGATAAATGTAAGAGGTAAGTTATTATGATTTTGGTTCCAAACAAATAGACAATTTGATAGCTGAATAAGGTCACACAATTTAAGGACTTTAGATAAAAAATAGAGTATGCTACAGTTCGAATTAGTATGTTGAAAGTAAATTAATTTTAGAGCTTTGTTTTGGAGATAAGTTAGTCTTAAAAAAGCAAGCTGTTTAGATTTTCCCCAAACTTGGCAAGCATATTTGAGATGAGAGTGAAAAATAGCATGATATAAATTAAGCAAAGTTTCATGGTTAACAAAATGACGAATTTTAGCTAAAATACCATTCGATCTGCTTAATTTCAATGGTAAGTCTTTAAGATGCGATGCAAAAGATAAATTAGAGTCTATTTTGATTCCAAGAATTTAATAGAATAGATAAAACTGGATTTATTTTTTGGCCACTTAATCTGAAATTTAATTGCTTATTAATTTTTGTTTGAGCAGATTTAAATATAATAATTTCCGTTTTTTTAGAGTTAAGAGATAATTTATTGGAGCGGAACCATTGAACAACATTAGCTAGATCGTGATTCATATTTTTGTTAAGTTTTTTAAGTGATTTATTAATTAGGACTAAGTTGGTGTCATCCGCGAAGTGATAAGCAGTAGAAAATTTAAGAGAAACATTTAAATCATTGATAAAAATAAGAAAAAGTAATGGACCTAAAACCGAGCCTTGCGGAACACCATTAAAAGATTTAGCTAGTCCTGAGTTGATACCATTAATTGAAACAAATTGTGTTCTATTACAAATATAAGAGGAAAACCAGAGAAAAGGAATACCTCTTATACCGTAGTGTTTCAATTTTTCTAAGAGGATTGTGTGCTCAACTGTATCAAATGCTTTTCTTATGTCAATAAACACTCCACACACAAAGTGTTTATTATCGATGGCTTGTCTAATTTTCTCTGTTATTTCTATTAATGAATGAGTTTTTTTTTTTTTTTTTTTTTTTTTTAATTATTCACCTCACCAAGGCCCGTGGGGGCCACTACAGTCGAGGAGGCTACTCATTTTTTTTTGTTTTTTTTTTGTTGTAAATCGTGGTACAACCCTCTCTCAACTCTTTAACTCCGAAACACGAACCTTGACAAGCAAGGCCGCTGCGCGGAGAAATTAAGTTGAGCGCGGTACTTCCAGGGACATGGAGGGAGTCGAACTCCGAACCTCTCGCTTACAAAGCGAGCGCTCTTACCACTACACCACTACCGCATTTTAAGTTGTTGAGTGTTTGTTGCAAAAACCACACTGGTGTTTGTAAATAAATTTATGTTTTTCCAAAAAATGCTCGAGTCTTTGGAACATTGCTTTTTCAAATAGTTTACTTAAGTTAGAAAGAAGTGAAATAGGTCGATAATTGGAGTAGTCTAGATAAGAGCCCATTTTGTGTATAGGAATTACTTTGGCTACCTTAAAAGCTTCTGGAAAAATACCATTTTTGAAAGAATTATTCATCATATTACATAAAGGTTTGGAGATTATGTGAGATACCAGCTTTAGTAAAAATGTTGTCAGACTATTGGGACCAAGGTTTTTATTATTTTTAAGAGTATCTTTTATGAGATTCGCCACCTCATTTTCAGTCACGGGCTCAATGAAAAAAGAATTAATACTAGGTATTTTAAGAAAGTTGCCAAAAGCACATTTAGAGGGAACAGTATTTTTAAGTAGTTCGTTTTGAATAGTCGTAAAATGATCTGAGATGACATTTTCATTGATTTTGAGATTAAAAGACTTAGTAGAAGTAGATGGTTTGATGTTTATGATTTCCTTAATTCCTTTCCAGGTATTCTTTACATTATTGATGTTGTTATTGAAAAAAGATGCATAGTACAATTTTTTAGAATACCTTAACAAATTGCTAATTTTATTTCTGTATAACTTAAATTTAGTAAATAATATATTTTTTGTATTCACATTTTTTTATCTAGTAAATTTTTATAGAGTATGTTTTTATTAGAAATTGATTTAAGAATACAAGAAGTTATCCAGGGTTTAGATAGAAGTTTAATTTGTTTTCTTGTTAGTTCTTTGTAAGGAGCATATCGGTCTAATATTTTTTCGAATGTTTTAAGAAAAAAATTTATAGATTCGTTTATGTTATCATCGTCTTTTATGAGAAGCTCCCAGTTAATATTGGAAATTTCTTGGATAAAAGAATCAGAATCAAATTTTTTAAAGCTTATTTTAAACATTTTTACTTTTTTTTCAATGGGTGGGTTATTAGGAATACAGACGAATTATGCCATGTGGTCAGAGATTGAAATTGTAAGATTACCAGAGACTATATCAGTAGGAAATGAATTCATGAAGATGTTATCAATAAGGGTTTTAGTTTTTGCAGTTACACGTGTTGGAAGAATTATGGTTGGAAATAAGGAACGAGAGCACAAAGATTCAAAATAATTAGAAATGACATGTGATTCTCTATAATTCAATAAATCTATGTTGAAATCGCCCATTAGTACAATATTTTTTGCTTCATGACTTAACTTTTCAAGGAGAGGATTAAAATGGATAGATAAAAATTCAGTGATGTTTAAAGAGGTATGCCGATATATGCATCCAAAAATGGTATTACTTTTAAGTTTTAAGTATAAAGAGATAGATAGAGAGACCCGAATCGAATTTTGAAAAAAGAAATTTACTTTTGTTTCTATATTTAGATACTAACTCATTTAATAAGTTGATTGTTATCATTGGTATAAGATATTATGACTTTTCTTAAAAATATTGCATTGTTTTATCGTGGGATTGTAAGATCCAATGTTTTACAATTTTCTATTTAATTATCGGTTTTATTTTACTTTCTTTTAACCTCCATACTTCCTTATTCAAATCATTTTTTATATTTTTTGATATTATAAGAATTTGTATGTTGAGCGTATCTAAGTTTAGATGTGGTTATCACTAACTCCAAAATACACTTTTTTATTTTCGTCTGGAGTGCCTGGGTATAGTGTATAGTATAGGAGTGCCTGTTTTAATAAATAATATAAATAAATCCTATTTATTTATTATTGAGCACTCTTATACGTACTCTTATACGTACAAGAGTTTTCATATTTTGCAAATACAAGATATCATATAATATTATATATATGAGTGGGTCAGAAGCCAAGGGGTACAAGTGACAGTTTTACCAAAATTAAGTTAAGTATAGAATTTGATAGAAGAAGCAAACAAAATTGTTGGTGGCCAAGGGATACAAGTGAATCTCTGCCCTGTGCTGCTTTCTACTGGAAAAACATAACAACAGCTGAGTATATTTAACAAAAATACTTTAACTTTAAACAGCTGTATCTCAAAACTATGAAAATGTCACTTGTACCCCTTGGCTTCTGACCCACTCATATATATATATATATATATATATATATATATATATATATATATATATATATATATATATATATATAATATATATATATATATATATATATATATATATATATATATATATATATATATATATATATATATATATATATATATGTGTGTATATATATATGTATGTATATGTATATATATATATATATATATATATATATATATATATATATATATATATATATATATATATATATATATATATATATATATATATATACACACACACACATGTTACAAAATTATATAGAGTTATATTTATGTTGCTTAAGGTTTGGACAAAATTGAAGTGTTGCAACAACATGAAAACGAAGACATATATCAGAAATCGTACGAAATAGTAGAGACATTTTTCCGAGATGACGAGGATACAGACGATTTAAATATTCTCCCTAATTCATCTTGCGGCCAATTTTCATTTGGGGATGTAGTACCTTCTACCAATGGATTCTCTTTATAATGTTGATTGGTAATATGAAAATGACGAAGGATTCAAAAGAGGTTTAAATTCGTAGTTTGAAAACTAACTCGCAAATGAAAATACGCAACAAATATGAAATGCAGAATCTTTTTGCTAAATGATTTTGGAACCAGTTTTCAAACGCTTCATTTTATTCGTTTTTTTATAGAATGAGATATTTCCAAGAGTTTTGCTCTATACTCGCTATATTCATACAGCGAAGTTTTTATATTTATAAGAATAGTTGTGTTTCATTTTTATTAATAAAGATTATTTATTGTAAAGAATTCCTTGATACATAAAAAACAAAATAATATATTATTATTTACATTCGAGTTATTATTATTCAAAATCATTTATTTTAAAACTAGTCTACTTTGTGTTTAAATGTTTTGGAATGGCCAAAATGTCTTTTAAGCGAATACATATACAGCGCTGTTACAAAGTTTCCCATACAGAGTGGATTTTTTTTTTCATTTTGCTTTAATGATGTAGCACTTGGTGGCGCCATTTAAAGAATGAATTGTTGTTATTTATTTTTATGCACCTGGCGCCAATTTTAAATTGGTTATGATGTAAACTATGTATATTTATGTCAAATTTTCTACATTTTTTTCTGAATTTAAATAACAGGAGGTCAGTAAATTTTGCATTTAAGATTTACTAGCTATACATTTTAAACGTAGTAAAATATTAGGAAAAAGCATATAAATTCGGAATATTCTTAAAAAAATTTCATATTTATAGTTTGAAAAATTGAAAATTATTTATAGCGGGAGAGCGCTTTTGTTTCTGGTACATATCTGAACTAAATTATGTATAATTGTCCTCGGACATTCAAAATTTTTTTTAACAACCAATGGTATGTGTGTGTATCTATGAATATGTATGTGTGTAAGTATCATTATTTTTTTGTTGAAAATGTTATGCGATAATAATTAGTGGTAGACTAGGGAGCTATGACTGCATTGTTACGTGGGCATACTTTACATATATGTGTGTATGCTTGTGTGTGTATATATATGTAAAAATGTTGGTTTTCGGGTTGTCGTTTTTTATACATATGGTTTTTTTCCCGCCTACGTATTTTTTGACGTTTTACGTTGTAATGGTTTCGTTTACTGTTTTCGTCGTTATTACTATATTTTATTTAAAATCTGTTTTTTAATTGGTTAGCAACATTCGATCTATGGCGGCGTTATACATTGAATCGTTTTGTTGTTTTTATAATTTCATATATATTTCCACACTTTATTGGCTTGAGTTTAATTATCTATAAAGTATCAATTTATGGTTACTTATTTGTCCTGTTTTGTCTTTATAACATTTCTTTTACATGCGCGGTGTCTAAATTATTATTATTTTTTTATACTACACGCTTTATTATAGTAACTTTGTTTTTGTTCTGAACATCTGTTCAATATATATTTTTAATTATTTTATCCTTTCTCTTTTTCTAAATTTTTCCTTATTTCACTTGGGCTTGACAGCTTGGTCTAGTCCTTTGATGCATATTTTTGCATTTTTTAAAAATGTAATAAAAAAGCATATAAATTCTATTACACAAATTCTACATTCTATATTCTATATGCTAATACAAACTCTATTTTCTATATGCTAATGCGCTATTCCTAGGAATAGCACATAACTTGATCTTCGAGGAATAGCGCATAACTTGACATTTTGATGAAACATTAAGTATTTTATATAAATATTTAAAATAAATAAAGAAATAAACATAACTACATATTGATAATTTTTAAATTTAAAAAAAAAAAAAAATTTTTTGAGAGGATATTTTCCGGGGAGATTTTTTCTCGGGGGATTTTTTCCTAGAACCTTATTTTCACTATTTTTAAATTTCACCACTGTTCTTCAAGCTGATTTATTCAACATTTAATGAATTGATCTATATTCTATATGAAGCAGCCGTGGCGCAGTGGTAGCGCACTTGCTTCAGTCACGTAAGATTTCAAACCCCACCTCTGTGCAAGTTTTGCGACATCGTTAGGAAGGAGGCGTGAACTTCCTATTAAATGCTCTTCCGCGGTGCTCTGTGATAAGACGGTAAGGACTTCTTGGGGCACCTTAATCAACTTAATAAAAAAAAAAAAAAAAATTCTTGTTAACTTTTTAACGGTAACTTAACTAACGGTAACTTTTTAACGGTAACTTTTAACGGTAAATTAACGGTAAACAATAAATAAAGTATTACTTCATTAACAACCAATACGACGATGGTTCGCAAAAAAGTTCACATTTTACCAGTTCGCAGTTCGTCACATTCGCTACCTAGGTAGCGAATGTGACGAACTTTTTTGCGAACCATCGTCGTATTGGTTGTTAATGATGTAATGCTTTATTTATCGTTTACCGTTAAAAAGATAATTTAGCGGTATATTTCATAGACTTTGAAGCGAAAAATAAAAGGAAATTAAGTGAAACTAGACAAATGCAATATGAAAATATATATATATTTTTTTTAATATTTGATAGACTGCCTGCTCAAACCAAACCCTTAGTCGATGTAGCTGCACTCCGTTGCGAATCATGCTATTTGTCAGTCGATGTATCAGCACTCCATTGCGAGTCTGGCTATAAAATAGTCGATGTAGCAACAGACCGCGCATGTTTTACAGTTAAAAAAAAAAAAATTATTTTAAATAAAGCTAAAAAAAGGTAATCAAGAAATAGAGAGTTTTTTTATTATTATTTTTATCATAAAAAATAATGGTCTTTAAATTATAATGTTTTGGTTCGCAAAAAAGTTCGCATTTTACCGGTTCGCGGTTTGCAATTCGCATTTTACCGACAACCGAGGAATAGACATTTTGGTGAAAAATGAAGTATTTTATAAAACTATGTAAAATAAATAAATATAACTATTTTATTGATAATTTTTAGATTAAAAAAAATTTTGGGGGGCGATATTTTCCGGGGGGATTTTTTCTCAGGGGGATTTTTTCAGGAGTGATTTTTTCTCGGGGGAATTTTTTCTCGGGTGATTAATTCGGAGGGATTTTTTCCTCCTACCGAAAATAATAACACATAATGTGGTTTTGCATAGTTTATCTTACAATAATCATCACGAATGAATTATATATTTTTTTATATTTATAATATACTTTTTTTTTACTTACAAATATACTTGTTAAATATATATTTTTTAAATATTTCACTTTGTTAGAAAAAAAAAATTTTGCGAAAACTTTAAAGATTTGTTTGTTGTTGCGGTAACTTCAATGAAATATTTTTGATCATCTTTTTCACTGTGCAACGGTCCGAGATATTATAAAATAATACCTGGTGACAAATGCAAATAAAGATCGACCACGTAAAGGCCGTCCAAAAAAACACTACAAAATAGGAAGATATGATTCTGGTTCGTATCCCTGGGAAATCAGGGCTTAACGTCATCAGACATTAAGGTGACTATGAAAATAAAATTGAGATTATTCAAATTCAAATTTTTATTTATCGGGTTATAAATCAATCTATCAAGCAAGGGAAAAGCGCAACGATGGACGAGTGTGTATTTTTGTTATAGACTCATTTATTTTCAAAAAGATAGAAAACCTTAGGATAAATAATGCAGGTTGCGAGTCGTTAACTATTGAAATAATCAACCAAAAAGCTAAAAATACTTTCATTGCTGCTCTATACAGACCACCCAATGGCAATTTCGAACTATTTCAAAAACATCTGGAGCGCATATTATCTGACTCACGTAAAAACATTTACTTAACAGGTGACTTTAACATAAACCTTTTAAATATAAATTGCGATTCCAACGTCAGGCCTGACGTCGGAATCAAAACTTACAAAGCGCCTGCAGGCAATAATTGTAAATACACTTTTTCAGCACAGTGTTAAACCGCTAATAAACAAAACAACACGCGTATCTTCTTTAACTTGTTCAATAATTGACAATATTATAACTAATAACTACATGATTTGTAAAATCGAATGTGGTATCATAAAATCCGATATATATGACCATTTTCCAAATTTTCTGATAACCGATCGCTTAACCATTGAAGGTAATAATTCCTTTACCACCTCCGTCAGACAAATAAAAAAACATTTCTATAAAAAAATTTCGCGATTAGATACACGAAACCAATTGGGAACTCACAGCTGAGTGCAACGATGCGAATAATACTTACGGAACTTTTTATACGCATATTTTTTAAACATTATGAAAAAGCATTTTTAGAGACTAAGAAAATAATTCAGCGTAATTACGCCGAATTATTTTCTTTTTTAGAGACTAAGAAAATAATTCAGCGTAATTACACTGAATTATTTTCTTAGTCTCTAAAAATGCTTTTTCATATTGTTTAAAAAATATGCGTATAAAAAGATCCGTAAGTATTATTCGTAAGTATTATTTTTAATTTTTCCGTAAGTTTTAATTAATCCGTAAGTATTATTTTTAATTTTTCAAAAGAATTATTGTATTTTTTATATTTAGTTTCATTATTTAAATAATGAAACTAAATATAAAAAATACAATAATTCTTTTGAAAAATTAAAAACACAAATAAAAAAAACTATTACTCCAACCTGCTCGAAAATTCAATAGAAAATGGAAGAAAAAAAATGGGATATAATAAAAAAAAAGCTGGAAAATAAAACTAAACATAAACACTGTTTTTCCAAAGCGTTTACAAACTAAAATGAACACAGATGTTTTTGATAAAGACAAAATTGCTGATATGTTTAATGAATTCTTTATAAACGTTGGTAAAAATTTTGCCCATAAAATAATTCCGGGAAACAAAACTTTGTCTTTTTTTTAAAAAACACACTCAGTTATGAATGAGTTTGAAAGATCCTCGAATGAACTTCGAGCAGCCTTAAGTTTATTAAAAAACCAACAAAACTCTAGGCATCGACGAAATGTTTTGAAATCAGTATTTGATATTATTAAATCGCCTCTTTTAAAAATATTCAATTTATCCTTAAAAACTGGTGTTTTTCCTGATCATTTAAAAATAACAAGAGTACTCCCTATTTATAATAATGGCGACAAATCTTTAGCATCCAACTGTAGGCCTATATCAATCCTTTCTTGCTTTTCAAAGCTTCTTGAACGCATTATGTATAATAGATTATAAACTATCTTGAAATAAATAATATTTTGTATAGCAAACAGTTTGGTTTTCGCCATTCAGCATATCATGCAACAACTAAATTAGTCAATAAAATTTTGAATGGTTATAAAATTATGAATATACTCTAGTCTTGTTTATTGATTTAACTAAAGCATTTGATACAGTTGACCACAAGATCTTCCTACATAAGCTAGAGATTTATGGAGTAACAAACAGCAATCTAAAATAGTTCAGATGTTACTTAAATAACAGGAAACAAGTAGTGTCGTACAACTCAGTATGTACACGCTTACAAACAATTAGTTGTGGTGTACCCCAAGGCCCAATTCTTGGACCTTTACTGTTTTTACTCCATGTGAACGATATCTATTTAACTTACAACATTCTTAATTTTACTAGACTAGAGTATATTCATTCTCTTTTTGCTGATGATACGAATATTTTCTTTACTCACTCAAATATAAAAACAACATTTTCTACAGTTAATCGCG